GTTGGAAGGCTTCCTCGCACTTGTCGTCCCAGAGGAAGCGTTTGTTTCTGCGAAGGAGTTGGTAGAACGGGAGGCATTTGTCCGTGGACCGGGAGATAAAACGATTGAGGACGGCGATCCGTCCTGTCAGCCGTTGGACCTCACGTGTGTTGCGTGGCGAGGGTAGCTCGAGGATGGCTGAGATTTGCTTCAGGTTTGCTTTTATGCCTCGATGAGTGACCAGATAACCGAAGAATTCGCCGGATGTGACCGCGAAGGTGCACTTCGCGGGATTCAGCTTCATCCCGTAGGTGTTAAGGATTTGGAAATATTCGCGCAGGTGGGTGATGTGATGGTTGGCCTTTAGTGATTTGACAAGTATGTCGTCGATGTAGACCTCCATTGTATGCCCGAGATGGTCGGTAAACATCTTGTTAACCAGCCTCTGGTAAGTAGCGCTGGCGTTTTTGAGTCCGAACGACATCACCTTGTAGCAATATGTTCCTCTGTTCGTGATGAATGAGGTCTTTTCCCGGTCTGAGGGGTGCATCATGATCTGATTGTACCCCGAGAATGCATCCATGAAGGATAGCAGCTCGTTGCCGGCAGTTGCTTCTACGAGTTGATCGATGCGAGGCAGCAGGAAGCTGTCCTTAGGGCAGGCCTTGTTGAGATCCGTGAAGTCGATGCAAACGCGCCATTTGCCATTCTTCTTCTTTACTACCACGGGGTTGGCAAGCCAGTCCGGGTATTGAACCTCTTGAATTGATCCAGCGGCGAGTAGCTTCTCGACTTCATCCTGGCTTGAGCTCGCTCGGGACCGAGCTTGCGTCTCTTCTGTTTGATGGGTTTGAATGTAACGTCGACGTTCAGCTCGTGGCTGGTGATGGTTGGATACGTTCTCACGGAGGAAGGCTATGAGGTCGTCGTGCATGCTGGGAAGAAGCTCGGTACTAATTCGGACACATCGTTTGGGGTGCTCAATGTCGATGCTTACTTGTACGACCAGGTCATTCTTTGGCTTCTCGTGATGCATGACTCGGGGGTCCATATTATCGATAACGAATGTAGACGAGTGCCGAACTCGATGCTCGGCGATGTAGCAAGACCGGGACTCGCGCTGGTCGCCCCTGATCGTGATGATTCTCTTTCTGCCCGGGTACTTCAGACATTGATGATATGGTGAACAGCTCGCATGGTACTGATCCAAGGCGTCCCGAGGATGACGTTGTAAATGGCCGGTCTATCGATGACATCGAATTTGATCATGGTGACGATGCCTCCCTCGCTCGTGATGAACAGTTTGATTGTGCCGATAGTCGAGGTGGAGTCGCTAGCGAAGCCCGTGAGTGCTTTCGGGGCGACCTTGATCTCGCTGTCTTTGATCCCCATCTGGATTAGTGTGATCTTGAATATGAGATCGACGGAGCTGCCTGTGTCGACCAAGATCTTCGAGACATTGTCCGATCGTATACGGAGGGAGATAACGAGCGGGTCGTTGTGCGGGCGGTCGAGACCCTCGGCGTCTGCTTCCGTGAAAGTGATGGGCAGGGTGTCGTCGTAGACCGGCGTCTCCTTCTTGGCGTTCATGGCGCGGCGTTCATGCTTTTTGATCGAGTTGATCGAGTCGTTGCATGTAAAGAGACCGCCCATGATCATGTTGATCCTGCGTCAAGGTGACGGGAGTGCTGGTTGTGGTAGAGGCAAGTCCTCCCATGCACTCTTGGAGTTCTCGTCAGGATGGGTCTGTTCCTGATGCGCGGGGGCGCGTCGGTCGTCAGCCCGAGGGCAGGCTTGATCGGCACGGGATCAGCGTAAATATCCGTCGCGTAGTCGGTCATCCAGTTTGATCCTACCGGCTAGCCATTCTTGCATGAGGACGTCTGGAAGGTGGCGGCATTCGGTGTCATCGTGGCCGGAGCGCTTGTGCCAGGTGCAATATGGTTGTGATCCAGAAGTAATGTCCGAGGAATTTACCCATTTGTTCCATGGGTGAGGTCGGGTGATGGTCGAGACATTAGCTTTGCGAGCCTTGTCGTCGCGATCGTAGTGTTGGCGAGGTTCCTGGTGCTCATCTTCTTTTGGTCGGGAGCTAGTGGACTTCTTCTTTACCGTGAGTTTTTCATCTTCCCTGGCTTGTGTGTCCTCCAAATTCATGAATTTGGTGGCTTTATGTAGGAGTTCGTCGTGGGATTGGTCTTTGCCGATCGCGATTTTGTCGTAGAACTTCTGGTTTTTGCGAAGGTTGAGCTTGAAGGCGATTATGGCGTTTTCATCTGTCGGGTCGCATCAGGAAACGACCGTGCGGAATCTGCCGATGTAGTCCCGGAGGCTTTCCTTCTCTCCTTGGATGCAGGTCCAGAGGTCGGAGGTGTTTTCTCCTCGCTCGATGTACATGGAGTAGTGTCGGAGAAACTCCAGGGAGAGCTGGGTGAACATCTCGATGGAGTATGATCGGAGTTTGGAGAACCACTGGAGTGCGTTGCCGGCCAGGGACTCCACGAAGTACTGGCAGAGGGAAGCGTCGTGTTCCTCGGGTGAGAATCGGGCGCGGTTCATAGCGTTATTGAAGGTCATGAGATGTTTCTGTGGGTCTGTGTTGCTGACAAACGACGCTGGGAGTTTGAGCCTCACGGTGTCGCGTAGGGGTACGCGGGTGATGCACTCAACAAACGGTGTCTGTTGGGTGAGCTTCAAGACTTGTTCGAGCTCGGGAGCCGAGCTGGTTGCATGATGAACTTGCAATTTAATTTCGTTGATCTTCTGGTGGAGCCGAGTGAGCTCGGCTTGTTCGGGGGTCTCGTGGGAGGTGGAGTCCGGGGCGGACAGGCGGGATCTGTGCTTAGATCGCGTGCTGGAGTCCTTCGCGCGCTGGTGGTCGCTACCCCGTGCTGGGGTGGGTGTTTTGCCGATGATTAGGCGCTTGGCTCCGGACGCGGTGGTGCCCGGGGGTATGTGGATGGCTCTGGGAGTGCCGGTCTCGGTGTCGTCTACGTCTGGTAGAGACTCGGGTTGGGACTCTCGTAGTGTCTCCAGGTACGCGACCTGCTGAGCTTTGAGAGCCCCAATCTGGTCGTTCAGTTTGTTGTCCATCTGTGCCATGAACGACTGTAGGATGGCGGTAATGTCCGTTGGCGCGGGTGGAGGTAGAGGGGGCGGGAGAGTGTTCGTTGTGTTGAGGGAGCTCCGGGCTGGCGGAAGGTCGGTCTGGTCGGTCGTCCTATGCTGTTGGACGTTTGAACTGCTACCGGGCTCTAGAGGGGTAGAGCCCAGTCCGGTCTGCGGTATCCTGGGGTTGTTCCCGACCTGATTTTGGGCGGATGGTTGGATGATCGTATCGTCGGTGGTATTGTCGGTGGATCGCTTCTCCGTGGACATCTTCGAGTTCCGGCGTGAGTAGACGAACTTGTATCTTTTGTTCCCCACAGACGGCGCCAATTGTAAGATCTGGATATCTCCTCTAAAGAAAATATAAAAATTTTTGGGGGAAAAGATAAAGTTGTTTTTATTATTAGCCGGAGCTCGAAGTGTACAAGGAGTTTTAGGTCGTCGGAAAAGAACGCCGACCTAAGTTTAGTGAGTAAAGAATCGAGATCTAGAACTGGAAGCAGTAAGCTATTATTTGCCCTAGGTCTCAAGTCCGAAGTTGTCAATGAATCATCTTTGAGGGAGGGGGCTCTTCTTATATAGCCTCCGTAGACCGCCTTGAGAATAATCCTTCTCTTTCGGGATTAGGATAGTTTCCTTTCTTCTCGGGATCTTCTTTCCTTTTGTTCTGCGATACGAATATACCTTCGAATATTTCCATATTTGGGCGCCGACCTAAACTCGGAAATGGAAGTAGGGCTTCAAATGGGTCTTCTCAATTTATGAAGGGCTTTTAACAAGGGGTGCTAAACTCATCACTAACAGAATGGTATAAAGGAGTATGGACTAGCCTTCACCATTTCCAAATAATTTATTCTTCGCGTGGCGCTTCAAACTAAGGAAGTATATTGATTAAGAATTTTAGAAAATTTTGTGGTTTTTCTAAAATTTTCCGTTATTTAATAAGTTATTTCTAATTTTCTTTTATCAAAATCTATATTATTGAATATAAATTTATATAAAGCTAATTATAATCATTTTAAATTTTCTGTCATTCAATCAAAAATTTATAAAAATAAAAATAAATTAAATCAACTATTTGGGAACTATTTTAAGTAGCAGATTTAATAAAATTTTGAATGATTTAAAATAATTTGGTGGAGTTTGTTAGTTAAAAAAAAAATCAAATCTTATTATTTCAATGGTCTATTCTAAACCTAGGAATATGGGGAGATGAATTCAGTGACCCAATTTTCAGTGGCCCATTATTAATGTTTTAATAAACCCAAAATATTTATAAAGAGCTTAATTCAGTAAGAGATATGAATTTACAAATAATCAATTAATTAGTTTAATTGTGTTTTGTGACTTTTGTCTAGCATCTTCCACAAATAAAAGAGAAAAAATGCAAGAAGTATTTTATAAAACCCATATATTATTTTTAGTTTACTTTTGTTTTTGGAAAATTGTTTTTTTATTTAGCATTTTTTTTATAGTTGAACATATTTATATTTATATGAGAGTTTTTTAATCAAATTTTACATGCAAAGAATTATGAAAAAATGGACTAGCTATTACTAGAGGTGTTCTTGAATTGAGGTTGTTATTGTAAATGCATAATAGTAATGAACAAAACAAAATATTGCAAAATTAATGATTCTCTTCTTACAACATGTTAAATACAAAAGTTCAAATTTGAAATTTTGAAAAGGGTATTTTCAAAAACATTACTATTTTCTATTTATTCCAAAATAACACCAAATATTTAAGAAGCCTTCCAAAATTGTAGAAAGACTTATAAAAAGAAGTTGTGGTATCTTTTTCGAACACGGTTTTTTTATTAATGTTTTGGGATATTCCTCGTTTTTGACATGTCAAATTCTTATATGGTTTTGACATGTATCACATAATTAAACTGGGTATATATGAGTTGATGATACTAAAATGTCATGAGTTTCATTACAAATGAGTGTTGATATATAATTATATAGAAATAAAGTTGTCACATGTTTCTATAACGATACCTTCGAGCACACCACAAGAAGGAAACGAGATTAAGAGTGCTCAAAGCGGCAATAAAGTAATAGAAATAATCTAACTTGCCAGTATCAATATCATCCGTGAGCCAACTATGTCTTCCTCCACGACCAGTCACACCATGAACAATTTTCACCATGGCACTGCTTAGATAACTAGCTAAAGACATACCTAAGTAAAGCAACGAGTTCCCTATGCTTCTCATGTTGATTGGAACTTGCTTGTTGAAGAACTCAGTGAGACCAACAATGGTGAAGACTTGATAAAATCCCATTAGTATTTGTTGTGGAGCTAGCCAAAAGATCGATATGTTTGTGCCCGAAAGGGATAAATCTCTTCTCTTTTGCTCCAAAATACCCGATATGAACATGGTAGTGATGCAGAAAACATTTCCAATCCCAACTTTTTGGAGTAAAGAGATGCCTCCTTCTTGTTTTGTAATGTTTTCAATGTGTCGAACCAAAAAGGTTTCATAGAGCGAGAGCCATATCCCTATGGTGAGATGTGATATGACAATAATAGAAGCAGGAGGGATTAGGTAAGAAGTACCGGGAAATCGGAGGTCCATTTTTAGCGCTTGTGACACCGTAAAAGTTTGTTGTTGGTTCATAGCCAAAAATCCTATAATGCTCGAAGCAAATATTGGAATAATGCTTATGATGGACTTTATGTCCTCTATCTGTCCCACTGTGCAGATTCTCCACTCCTCATTTCTGGCCTCATCGTTGTTTAGCACTATCACAGCTTTGTTCAAGAATCTGAAAAAAAAAAAAAAAATATATATATATATATATCAAAGGTTGGTAACCACATTTGTTTGAGAACCAAATATATTGTACACATTTTTTATGTCCCCAGTTACGTAATAAACTAAGTTAGTATGGATAATTGGGTAAAATAAGGAGTTTATTAGATTTTGCATGTGAAAGAAAAATAAAGTTTCATTTTGTCAATAACAAAAATAATGTTTTAAAACAATATTTTATTACTTCTTTTCACAAAAAACTTTTTGAAAACATGTTCAAAATTGTTATTATATCTCTCTATTAAAATATAACTGTTGGTATTATATATACTAGTATATTTTAAGCTAACTTCGGCAAAAATATCAAATTTCACTTTTTTAAAAACCATTTGTTTTACCTGAATTTTTTAAAAAAAATAGTAAAAGGAGAGTAATTCATAAGTTTTACCTGAATTGATCAGTGAGTACAAGTTTATTTGATTTCGCATTTGTCTCTAGTAACGGTCGATGATAGTCAATCTCAGAAGAAGACTGTACATTGCGTTTCTTATAAGCATCCACGAGAACCTTGAAGATACCAGAGAACACACTTCCTTCAGGTTTGACAAAAACATAAAACCGAATTCCCACAAATAGCAGGACAAGTGCAACCAAATTGAGAACTGTCGGGATAGCGAATCCAATGGCCCAACTAATGTTGTTCTGTACGTACAACACTAGAGTCATTGAGGCTAATTGGGCGATTGTATGAGTGATATAGTACCAGCTGAAGAAGCTTCTGCTCCCTTCTCTTCCTTCCTCAGTCGAATCATCGAACTGGTCGAGACCAAAAGGAACAACGCATGAACAGGTTCCTCCTGTTCCGACTGATAACAAGAAGAGTCCTGAGAGTAAAACGTATAACTGCAAATCGCTATAGCCGATACATTCTCCGGTGATTTGGTCGGAAGTGCAAGGTGGTGGTCGTAGATTAGGGATCAGAGAAGTGAGAGTCAACACGAACATGCCCTGTCACGTTACAAAGCTCCAACATCAAGACTCACAAACAAATAAACAATTATACGTGTCAGATTGTTTCAAACGTCACTTCTACGTTTATGTTTGCCGTTACATTATACAAACTCTAAATTAAAAAATCAAAGTTTCAAAATACATTAACAATCATTTTTTCTAATATACAATAAAAAATTTATAAATTAATAATGTTGGGACTTTGATATTTTACTAATTTATAGAATTATTAATTTATCGATTTTGAATATAATAAATTGTAAATTAACAATTAAATAAAAAATATTTTCTTTAAAATTTATAATATTTTTCAAAATTTTCATTATAACATTAGACATAAATAATAAAAATATTTTAATTTTAATATAAAAAACAAAAATATACTTATATATTAATAAATTATCATAATTATAAATTTATATAAAATTATATAATTATTTTATATAATATTTATTAATTTATGATATTAGTGGGACTATATTTTATATAATTTTTCAAAAAAATTATTATTTTATTAATTTATTGATTTATATTAAATTTTGAACCGGTCCGATTTGGAATCAAGTAAAATTATTAATTTATTGAGTTTATTAATTTATCGAATATTAATTTATAAAATTTCTAATGTATTGTATTTTGTGTCGACGCAAAAATGTTACATGTAGACAGAAAGCTTCCTTTGTTTACATTTGGCATTTGCTTTTAGAACTAACGACCAAATTTTGTATAAAAAGCTATAAAAAAACGGGGTGTTTTAGAAATACACGCTATAGAAAAAAACGCAAATGTAAACAAACAATCGATGACATATCTAATCAAATCCTAAATATTAACATTAATTCAATATGAAGAAAATAGTTTTATAACAAAATGAGAAAAAGATTTACCAACAACTCTGAGATGGAACCAGATACAATGGTTCTAAATTTCCCGGTGTAAGAGTCGGAAATGAAAGCTCCGATGATCGGAGCGAAATTGGTCAGTGCATACCAAGTGTTGATTAGAGTTGCAGCTTGAACTTGGTCCATATGATATTCTTTGACCATATACACCATGAAGTTCGCCATTATTCCAAATGACGCAAGCCTCTCCAATGTCTCATTCGCTACATCATCAAAATATATAGCTCGATCTTTTAATATACGAAACACCTCAACATCAGAAAACAAATATGTAAAAGTAAACATTGATTATAGTAAGTACCTAATATGTAAGGCATAGCTTTCCAACCGAGAGGCTTTCTTTGTTTCGTCGTTGAATCCCAGGACATGGTGCCGTTCTCTTCATCCATTTTTTTTTTCTCTCTTATTTTTGTTTTGAGGATGATTAGTTTGTGTTCTGACTTCTAATAGAAGAGAAGTAAGGTGAAATCTTACTTTAAATATAGAACAAGTCAAACAATTACTGGATAAAATCTGAGTTAATATGGAAGATTCCATTAATTACTGGATAAAATCTGAACAAGTCATGAAAGGTCAAAGTTGACGAAAAGAATTTCCAAAATCATATAACCAAATAAGATGTGTCAATCATAGATATATGTATGATCAATTCAATTAGGTACGCGAGCCAAAATATCTACAGTATTTAGTAAATAAAAATGTATTGAATGTGCGTAGTGATAAAAAAGTAAAAATATGTAATGCATTTAAGTAAAAATAATATTATTGACCAATGACCACTAAATAAACTATACGATAATTTTTAAAATGACATACTTGGCAATTTTATTAAGAAACATGACATTTCCTAAAATGATTCATAAAAATGGTCAACTAGTATATTTTTAACTTGTCATTAGTTTGTCAGTAATTTGCATTTAGTCTACTATTAGTTTTTCAATAATATACATTCAATTGTAAAATTAATCAGTTTGTCAGTAGTTAATATCCAGTCTGCCATTAGGCTACAAGTAAAAATAGTTAGAAAGGTAACACTGATATTTGGAAAAAACCATAAAATAAAGGTCATTTTCACAATTTACTCGCAATGGAGTACCGGTTTTACATTATTTTATTATTCTATGTTATTTTGAAGAATTTTCTCATAAATTTAAGATTGTATATTTGTTGATATTAATTTTAATTCAATCAATCAAAATAGTTTTGGGTCTGGCTGGTCTGTCAGATGAATAACAGAATAGTGGAATATCTAAAAAATTATTAGCAGAACGAACTGAACTGAATAATATTTTGACTGAATAATTGTGAAATGCTGAAAAGCTACTTTTAGTATATTAACCACGTTTTCTTTTTTCAAATTATATTTTTAACACGCTAGCGGAATCACGTTTTAAAAACATAAAAAATGTAAAAATATGAAAACGCGATGAATAACATGAATAGTACAAAATAACAGAATTAAGTTTCCAAAACGTGAAAACATGAAATAACTGCATATCATTCAACATTTAAATTGCACCAACTTTTGTTTTGTTTCTGACAAATAAGCATTTACAACTTAAACTATTTCTCAAATAATATTTAAAATTTAAAATTTATATAATTTTAATTCAGTCTATCAAAATATTTTTTATTTTTTTAGAAAAAATTTCATATCATATTTTCAGGACACATTTGATTTGTACAAACTTTTCTTCTGCCTCTGATAAGTCATCATTTGCAACTCAAACTACTTCTCAAATAATACTAAAGCATTGACAGTTATTTAAAAAAAAATCAACAGAATGAGAAACTAAATATTTAACAAATAAAATATCAAGAGAAGAAAAAAAAGCAAATAGAAAAAAAAAACAAATTTAAAAAAAGAAACAAAATATCTTCTCGAATATCTCGGCTTTTAAACATGCATTGTGAATAATATATAAAACTTTATCCCTTAAATTGTTCTTTTTGGGTTATTTTCATCCCTTGCTAAAATCGTTTTGATAAACCAGCATCTCCGATTCTCAAGGCTTTGGGGTGACGCATAAAATACCTTATAAAGCAAAGCCCTAATCTCCAAAACAACCATATTTTCTTCAGATACGACGAATGGGTCGCAGGGGAGGCTTCGGTGGTCCCAAGGGAGGCTTCAGGGGTCCCAAGGGAGGCTTCTTCGGTAAGAATCTTAATTTTTTCAACTTCTCTTCGTGCAGTCGTTCAATCTAGGGTAGTCGTTCGATATTTCGTTTTCTTTTGTTGAAACCTTTAAGAATCTGTGTCCGATGTGTTTAAATTTCCCCATGTTTTCTCTGTTTTTTTGTGTGTTTTATTGAATTGGATGTTGATTAGTCTCACTAAACGCACATATTGAAGACGTATCCCTAATTGTTAGTCTTACGGATATTCGATTAACATTTTGATGTAGGAGGAAGAAAAAAATCATATTCAACTGAATCGCCTAAAGTTCGGTCTACTAAGAAATTGTCTCCTAAGCCAGGTAAAAAAAAAACTACTCTTTAACATTGAATATTAATGCAGATTCTTAACAAATTTACTGTTTATATTATGTTCTGTGAAGTTAAAAATGATGAAAAAGATGAAAAGGCGCCTCCTCCGTCTAAGGTTGCGGAGACCCCTACTGGTGCATCTAGGCCTGGAAGATTTTATTCAACCATAGCTGATGGTAATTTTAATAAACTTAAATAAAGAAAGTTTTCTCTTTGCATTTCTATTTCTTTTCTGTTTCTATTCACGTTTTGTGTGAAATTAGGTTTTAATTGGGGGGCTGGAAATGCGATGGGACACAGATTCGTCGAAGCCATTTTCGGTCCTAGAACCATTAAAACAGAGGTTGTTTTACCAGAGAAAGTTGAAGTTGCTGCTATTTCTGCAACGGATGATGATAGCGATAAATTTAAGGATTACACTGAATCATGCAGTATCAGCTATAATGCATTTCAAGAAGTAAGGCGTTATATTCATAATCTTGAAACAAATTGATGGATCGTCATTTGCAAACTTCTGTTTAATGAGTTTTTTTATTGATGATTATTTGAAGTGCTTATACATGAAAGGGAATAATCTAAGCAAATGTCACGTCTTCATGGATTCGCTGTTCGAGTGCAGGAAGAATTCCAGTTCCTTTAACTTCTAAGTTTTTGGGATTTTTAATTAGTTCCTTTATAGTTGATTCATCATTCGTTTCTGATGTGGTGATTTCTTTGGATATTTTTTTTTCTTTGGATAATTAAACCTCCAAGTCTGTGATTTATCGTATGTCTTGGACAAAATTAATAAAGTACTAGGTAACATGCGCAAGATATTTTTCTAGATTTGTATATATTTTTAATATAATAAAATTATTTATATATTTTAAATAAATATTATATTTATTTTTTATTAGTTTAAGTTATGTATTTATATGTTTTAAATCTGAATAAACATTATATATCATTATTTTTTTATTTTTTAAAATTATAATCTACTATCAAATTTGTTTAGCTAACTATCTATAAATGTATATGTAAGAATAAAATAATATATTTTTAATTACCTTCAAGCTAATGGTAGATGTAATTTATTTTCTCTACTAAATTGCTACTTGATCCTCTTTTGAAATTATATAAAGCAAATTATCATTTAAAAAAAATATTAATTAATATGATTATTTTAAATTATAAAATTTATTTATTTATCAAATATTTATTATAGACATATGTTTCTAAAGCTACCAAACTATAATCAATAACATTCATATCAAAATCATTACTATTACTTTAAAACTAAATAGAAAGTTATATTTGAACTGTTGAAATATCAATTTAGTTGAAATTAAATAATTTAATTTTGGTTACTATAAACATATTATAACTTGAAAATTTAACACAGAGAAATTTTATCTTTTTACAAAAACCGAGAAATTGCATTTTCTGCCAAAACCAAAAAAATTCATTTTCTTGTCAAACCTGAAATTTCATTTTCCTACCAAAACAAAGAAATTGCATTTTCCCTCAAAAACAAAAAATCACACTTTCCCGCGAGAACCTGTGTTTTTCCGTCAAAACAGAGAAATCAAGTTTTTTCACCAAAACAAAAAAATTTCATCTTCCTGCAAAAACAAAAAAAATAGTATTTTTCCATCAAAACCAAAAAAATTATTTTCCTGCAAAAATCGAAAAATCGTCTATTCCCACCAAAACAAGAAAAAATTATTTTTCTCGTCAAATCAAGAATCACGCCTTCCTACCAAAACTGATAAACTACAATTTTCCGTAAAAACCAAAAATTGCATCATCTCCTGAGAAATTGTGTTTTCCACGAAAATTAAGAAATCATATTTTCCCTCGAAAACCAAAAATCAATTTATATGTCAAAAACTAAAAACTTGCATTTCCCATCAAAATCAAGAAATTGTTTATTTCTGCCAAAATCGAGAAATTTTGCTTTTCTATCAACCCGAAAAATTGCATTTTTTGTCAAATTGGCAAATTACAATTTTCCGCAAAAATCAAGCAATTACATTATCCATCAAAAGCCGAAAAATTGCATTTTCTATCAAAACCGAGAAATCATATTTTTCGTCAAAATTGAAAAGTTGCATTTCCCTCGCATTTTCTCGTCAAAATCAAATTTTTTATTTCTCACTAAAACCAAAAATTCACATTTTGCCGCCAAACCCGAGATTTTGCTTTTTTCCGCCATAACCGAGAAACTATGTTTTCCTACCAAAACTGAAAATTACATTTTTCTACCAAAACCAAGAAATTCTCTATTTCCGCCAAACTCAAGAAAATTTGTTCTCGGTAACCAGTGAAAATGCGAATCTCCAAGCTGTGGTGGTCTGAGTTTCTCCTCATTTGCTTTCGCCTTCCATTTTTTTTTGTAAACTTTGGGCTTTTTAATGGGTCAGCAAAATAGTAAATTGATTTTATTAGTGTGTTAATAATATGTATTATTGTTATGTTTTTATTGGTTCAAATTTTTGCTGATATGTGAGCTTTTTATAACATAACGCTTTTTGCATTGTTGTTATGGAAGCATAGTTGATGATGAGTCTACACTTTCTTCAATCATATACGTCTCTATCAAGCAAACACATAGTTAGAAATTTTAATTTTTTTGTTGTTATTTATTATTTGAGTTTCGGTTTGGCAAAAATATAAAATAAAGATTTAATTTTATTATTTGTTGTTATTTATTATTTGGGTTTGTTAGAAAAAAAAATTTATTTGCTGTTATTTATTATTTGGACTTGGACTTGACCAAAAAATAAAATTAAAATTAATAATAAAAAAATATTTAAGTTTTTAATGGGTTTAAATTTAAAAGTTAAAATAAATTGATGACTTGTATTAATGAAATATTTTTATTAGTGTTTTTTTTTGTTGAAGTGTCATCTCCTAAAAGCTTAAAAATGCTGATGTGTCAAGCCATAGAGAGACTTATGATTTATTATCGTGTTGATTTAATATTAGTTTGTGCCTCGAGATAATATTTGAGTTTTGTATTTAGTTTAATTAATTTATTTATTCAGATGATCGTATGAGTAATAGACAATCCAGTGAAAATATTTGAGTCGGAGATTTCTTTCGATGGACTCAAGAATTTTGATGCCAATTTGTTGCTCCTAATATGATCAAAATATATTGCATCTCGTATCTTGCTTGATGAGCAAGCGACAGATCAGAACAAAAGTAATTGTTGTTGTATTATGTATTGATAATTTGATAGCATGCATACTTCATAAAAAGAAAAAGACTTGAGCTTTGAGAGTAAGACCATCTCCAATGCAAAGAATTCTTAGTATTATTTTAATTATAAATTTTATAAAGTTAAAAAAATCTTTAAGAGTCATTAAAATTATATAGCTCCAATAGTAAAATTTCACACTTAGGTTCTTAAAAATAAAAAAAATATTATCCTTTTTATCAAGGAAGAGAGGGAAATGGAGAAATTTTTTTAAGAACCAATAAAAATGAGACACTTATGAGGTTCCTACCAATTCTAAAAACTCTCTTTCAAGAATTTCTTCTTAACATTTTATTTAGTTTTGAATTATTTTTTTAGTTTTTTGTGTAAGAACCCTATATTAAAAGCCTCCACTGAAGGTGCTCTAAGACTGTAAGAGAAAGGTAAAAGAGAAATGCGAAACATATACGAAAGAGCAAGAGCGGGCTTTAGCTGGGCCGATGTCGAGATTGGGTCTACACCTGCTTTATGAAATTAGAAATTAGTGATTTTTGCTTCGGCTGTTGTAGAAATTAGTGACTCGATATTGGTTTCGGCCTTCCTTCAATCGGCCCATATTGGTTGAACTTGGGGGCATGAGTAAAAGTGTAAAACACTAGTTAGACGCTATTAAAGTCAACGAGGCAGCGATCATCCCATAGGGGGATCTTCGAGATGGTAACACTTCAATAGACACGATTATACGGAGACCTTACTTTTCAAATAACATTGATACTGAAAGGGTGGTTCATTTTCAGATGGACGATAAAATTGTAAAGAAAAGAAGAATTAACAGCCTTTGGAATATATATAAATGGAATATAGTTATTTGTGGGATACCGGATACATTTAATTCTTTCGACTCTTAGGGTAGAATAATAAGTTACAGTAACTTAAGCAATCTCATTTATATTAGGAGGGTTTAATCAAGAGTCGGTATATAATATACGTAACGAATTATTAAACCAAAGATACAATACACTATATTATCTTGTGATTGGCTCAGAGCTACACTTCAGTGGTTTAATACGTAGCGCAGAAGAATCATACATCTCATTAGGGCTCAAGCAGCCGACCATGGGATTTTATGACAAACAATACTTTATAAGACAGTAAACAATTTTAAAACAAATTTACTCCACTAGTACATGGATTCTGTTCAAAACAACTGCACATTTATGTGTTTAATAATATACTTTTTTAAATGGTCAATTAGATAGATAATTACCATCCATATCATAACTTTTAGATTTTTTTTGATGTGGTATACTCTAAATAACACGCTAATAATGAAATATCACCCAATTTAGTGTTTTCTTGCAAATTAAATATTCCATACTTGTTTAGTTAATTTAACAAAGTGTGCATGCAAATTACCCTTTTCATAATAAAATGATATGTAATATTTATTTCATAAATACTAAACTATACTTCTAAACCATTTTGTTTTGCTTATCATAAACATTCAGAGTGCAAAGTATCTGCCTAAAAAACAGCAGAAGAGGTTGGCAAATTGATGATTTGTTCTCTACAAATTGAAATTGTTTTATAAAATATATGTATAACTTAACCGAAAGCTACATCTAAAGCTTTGGCCTTATTACAGAAACGAAACTATAAAATTTGGTCAGATGCTGACTTGGCCAAATTTGTCTGCTGGTACAGTTTGCAAGGCCTATAACACTTTGATCAGAAAGTGACAAACAAAGAGATAAGTGTGAGAGTTTCAAGATAGTAATGTTGACTCGTTATATCACATTCTTACCCTATACTAATATAATGGGAGTATAATTTTTTCTGTTGTCTACATCTCTTTATTTTTTATTATATTCGTAGATGATAAGTTAAAATAATACATGAAAATGTGGCTTTGATTGGTAACCATTATTTTCCACACGGTAAAAGATGTTATTATTTCTTTGATTACTAACCACAAAGCTCTATTGAAAATGTTATCATTAATTACATACAGTTATCTCGCTATCTCTTACCGTTTGTAGTCATTGACTACTGTTATTTATCCCTTTGCATTAAAAAGATCCATGCATATTTTCGTATTTATATATATATATATATATATATATAGCATGAGACACATGTATACGTGCTAAAATGCTACAATGCTAAAATGAAAGTCTTCGTTTAAATTGTGTTATCAAATATTAAATGTTGCGTATCTTTTGATCCCATGATAAATAAGACAAGCCATTAAAAGTGTTTTTAAGTTCATTAAAAGAATTCAAGATGTATTCGGAATCATTGGATATATACGGAATTGGTGATGCACAATTTTAAGACATACACTGGCCGTTAAACCCATTAGAGAACAAAACATATATGTGCGACAGTGTCAGATATAAATTGGTAAAGCACGAAACCAATAATTGGCCTCTAAGAGTGGTATATAACTATTCTAAGATTCATAAACATTGTAAATCACTCGTGAAAAAAGTATCTTTGCTTCAGCTTTTTCTAAATTTATAAATGTTTTCTGATAACACACACAATAACAAGAGCCATGAAATACGAAACAAATATAAATCCAGTAGTCAGCAGAAAAAATATACAATCGTATCTTACTTCCATCCACAATATTCCCGTAAGCTCAACTTTGAAACTCTTTTCGACATTTACAATAACAAAATTGAGTTATATTCAATTACA